AGCCTTTCAGAGCTTCTGTTAGACTGCTCCAAAGCAGTGTTTCAACCTGTAACTTACACATTAGGTGGCGGAGGTTCTGTGCGTGTTCAAGCAAAATCTCATCAAAGTTTGGGTGCAAGAGTACATCTGGTTATAGATCACCGAGGCATCATCATTAATCCTGTCAGATGTTATCTTACGGAAGAGGCAAGAGCTGGATCACTGAACTTCTCTTTTCTAAAAATGCAGTGATTCAGGAGAGATGTGGGAATCTGCTCTGTCCTGCTTAGCATCTTCAAGGCATTCTTCGGGGGCCGCGCTTGTCACTGAGTCAGGGGTTTCCGAAGGCAGGCTGACAAGCAGAACGAGAAAACATTGCTTCTTCATAGCAAGGGCGGTGTGGCTGGCCAGAAGCAGACATTTGCTCCTTTATCTCACACCCTGCATTCCTTGAAAGCTTCAGCATTTGAATAGCTGTCACCAGGGCTTGCTACATAATTTGTGGGTCCCATTGCAAAATGAAAATGTAGAGCCCCTTTTCAAAAGAGTGCCATGAAAGGTACTGAAAGATAAAACCATTCCCTTCTTTTGTCTCTCCTTCTTCACTACCAGGGTGATTATATTCTATTTGCTACTAAATGTGCTTCCTTCCTGGAGCAGGAAGGTGAGTGCAGACATTCATGGGCACCCAGGGCCCTGCTAAAGAAAAAATAGTTATAAAATTGGAAAGAAAAGAAGAGTTTATTTCTCATAGAGGGTTATTCCCTTAAGGTGCCCATCCCTCAGGCTGGGAAGTATGCCTCTAGCTGAGACCAAAGATAGGCACTTTCAAAGGAGCAGGGGAGGAGGTGGGACCTTAACGCTGAACCATTTGGCCAGACAGACTGCTCAGCAGGTTATGGGGAAAGCTATGAATATTCATGAAGCTGGCTCTGACATTTGCATATGGAACAAATATGCATGTATCTAATAACATATGACCATGTTCATTCTGAGGTGGAGACTTAACATTTAAATATACTACAATTAGGCTCTGTATTTCAAAAGGTGTTTTTAGGATGCAAAAGTCTGGCAAGTGCACAACCTCCGTAAACCTACCAGAACCAGGCTGTGGTCGGTGGTCTACCAGAACCAGGCTGTGGTCAGTGGTCTTCTTATCAGGAGAAAGTTACTGAAGTGCTAAGCCGCAACTGTTTTAATATTGCTTATTTCAAGACTAGTACTTGTTTAGCTGCTAGGGAAAAATAAAAGCCTTGCGGCAGTTAGAACACAGCTGATTTTTCTCTAAGTGCAGGGGTGAGTAACTTAACTCTTGCTTGGCATGGCCGTAGGTCCTGTTTATATTGACGCCTCATTCCCACAGGGTCTGTTCCATCTGTCTTAAGATCTCCATTTTGCCATAATTGCAGTTAGTTGTGTCAAAACCATAAAAGGGAGGGGGCATATAATGAGGCTTTTCTGACCTTCAGTTCCATCATGGCCATGAACTCAATTTAAAGAATTTTCTGGGGTCCCTTTCCCCACAGGGGTTTCTTTCAATCAGTAAGGGATTAACATTTTATTTTTAGTTTACAGTGTCCATGTGTGCTCGGGAGCACATGGCCACAGGCTGCCGAGGTCTCCCTCCTGCTAGCCACTGGGCCAATACTTCTGTGCCTGGCCAGGGATGGGGACATCAATCTTCTCAACTCTCAGCAGATGGGGGAACACCAAGAGATGGCAACCTACCAGCCAGGACACACTAATTACCTGGATAGGGAGTGGGCAAGGGCCTTGCTCCAGCCTGGTTGCCCTCTAGACACACTGTAGTGCTGAGAGCCCATGGCAGAGTTGGCTGCCACCATGACCAGCCACAAATGCTATTTCCATTGGGATGTGCACCCCATCCCAACATTCTCTGCATCTGTCTAGGCCTTTGCCTGGGGCAGCGAGCAGCAGGGTATTGGGCCTGGCAGGAGATGGGGGTGAGAAAGAGAGGTCCAGAACCATCCCACAAGGTGGGGCAGAGGCTCCCTTCTTCCTTCAGACTTCATTCCCAAAACAAGTTCAAAGATTAGATTATTATGAATTTCAAGATGTTGACTCCAAAGCCTTAAACCCAAGGGTGAAGCCCCTGGTGAACTGAATACTCAGCCCTGCCTGCCACCAAGAACAGCAACAAACCAAGAGAGCTGAAGGACATCCCATTAAGTAAAGAGACTTCTTCCAGTTATTCCCTAATTCTCCCCGAGTCCCTACTCCAAACCCGGTGGAATGAAGAAGGATGGGGAGATGTCTGTATTCAAGAGCAGATTGTACTCAGTCCCGGGTTAAGGTCTGAACTAGTTGGGGCTGGAGGGTAGGGAAACAGATTAAAATCACACAAGTCTTCATAAATAAATCATGTATCCCAAAAGCTGTGGGATTTGTCTGCGATGTCAGCAAAAGGCAGAGAAAGAATACCCAATAGAGTACGTTTGACAGCAGTTGGTGAAAAATTAAGCCATTTTCTGTCTGCACCTACTACAAGTTCAGGTTATTTCATAAAAAACACAGTTCAGCAATATAATAAACGTATAGCCCACATGAACGAAGTAGAGCTCACCAGGAGTTCCATCAGTACAGCCATGACATCAAAGGGTTAAATAATAATAACGTGATGGAATTAAGTAATTCAGATAACCTGAACAATTTGAAATGGACCGATTATTTTAGGGTGGCATGTTGCATTAATTACTTGGTGACCAACATGCAGTTAATTGCTTTTATTGCATAGAGGCATATATTTTATACAAAAAAGCAATAATCATCTGATTCCATTAATATAGACCAGGATAGTATCCCAAATAATCAAATATAGTTTATTCTATTTTCAAATTCAAATCTCCCCCCAAGATACACTAAGGGACTCTCAGGACGTCACTTTGCAGAGCAGCCACATTTTAAACTTCTGTCCTTGTCTTTCTTTTGCCATATTGTTCTTACCTACTCCTAATTCATATTATCTTTATAAATCTTATTCAGTTATTAAAGTTCATTTTCACAAAACCTTCTCATTCTCTTTTGTCTACCTGAGCTGCATATTTATTTAAAAGCAATTTAGCTGGTCCCAAGGCTACTTTCCCATTGATTCATGATTTAATTTAGATATGACCTTGCCCAAGATACAATCTAATTTTAAGAATATATTTTAAGTTACTTTGGGTGGTGTGATTGCTCCAAAAAGTTATTTGATGTGTGGGTTTAGGTTTATAACATTCTTTGAAGTACAAAATATTGAAACACCTGCCTTAATGATCGCTGATGAAGTAAAAGAAATTATGTAAATGTTAAGTACTTTCTTCCTTACTTAGGATGCCTTGTTGAATTAGCTAGTTTTGGAATATTGGAACATATGTGTTACTTTTAAAGGACACTGCCTTGTACCTCAAACTTCAGAAAGGCTTATTTCATAATACAAAATGTGTTTCAAAAGAGCTGCTAATGACATTATAATTTCACCTATTTTTGATTGTCTAAGGTAAGGAGCGGTCAACTCGCAGCACAGTTTTGTGGAAAGCCTTTGAAACACTCTTGCAGTGGCCAGGCATGGTGGTTCATGCCTGTAATCCAAACACTTTGGAGGCCAAGGAGGGTGGATCACCTGAGGTCGAGAGTTCAAGACCAGCTTGACCAACATGGTGAAACCCTGTCTTAAAAAAAAGAAACACTCTTGCATAAAGTAGGATTCTATAATGAATTGCATTGATCCTAGGATTAAGAGTAATATCAAATAATTCAATTGATAATAGTCTTTCCTATGACAAACTAAGTATCAATATATTGAAAAGAAAACTATTGTACCTTTTTCTCAGTGACTTTGTGAAATCTCTTTTCTACACTTGGCCCCATCATTGACCAAAAATAGTGTTATGATTCAGCGGGGGTTGAAAGGGAGGAACAGCTGACAATGTGGTTCTGATAATGCTGAACTTCATCTGAGCCCATGTGTTCCTGGAAAGTAGCAAAGGTCTGGAAATTCCCGCCACATTTTGTATTCTGAGAAATGACCACTCTGCTCTCACATATTCCAAGATCAGACCCACCTCTACCCTTCCTCAGTGAATGTGACTCACTTGCATACCTGGCTCTTTGAAGCCCTTGACCTCCTTCCTTCTCGTTGAGGTGTTTCTCATTATTAAATGCCTTTTCTATTGCAATAAACTGAATACAATCATCTTTTTAAATGTCCAGTGCATTCTGTTTTTCACAGTTTCTTTAAAAGAGAAGAAAAATATGGTTAAGTTCTGTTAAATCTAGGAAATAAAAATTTGCAGTTGGAAAAGCAAGACACTAGTGTGATAGAGTGTTTTAAAGCAGTGTTTACAGAGAAAGATGAGGTAGGCTCCGTTCCATAAACGAGGTAGTTGGAATATAACATTGACTGCTTTACCTAAGGCCTTGCCAAGAAACAGCAGCACTAGTATAGAATTGTAGTTGAAATAGCAGTTTTCATGCCACTTCTTTTTCTTCGAGGGTGTTAAGCTCATTAAAATTTTGATCTTAATAATAATTACAGAAATAGATATAAATAGATGTAATCCTTTCTCTCATTCATCTCCATGTTAAAAAAATTGTATGTGCAGGGATGTGTTTGTGTGAGAGTGTGTGTGTGTGTGTGTGTGTGTGTGTGTGGTTTGAACAGGCTTATAAGTGGCACAATAGGAAGAACAGACCTTACTCCTGAAGATTAACCCACCTGCAAGGATTAAGACAATGTAGTCACAAGTTATGATTTTGTAGCAAATCATATACAAGTATTTGCAATGTCACTTACTCTCTGACTTAGAAAGATGGCAAAGGCTTGTAGTGGTTACAGCAGTCATGGAAAGAAGCAGGTTTTCAATGCATAGGACTGCTTTACCATAATTATTTTAGACATAGGACTGCTTTACCATAATTATTTTAGACATAGGACTGCTTTACCATAATTATTTTAGACAATGCAGAAACTTCCATCATGAAAAGGGAATGCCAGCAGATATATAAAGAAGGCTCTGCTTCATGGGGAAAAATGAACTAAAAATTTAAAAGGTTCTTCAATTGCAGTAATCTCTAACTCAGAGCTTCTAGGCAGGCCTGTGAGTGAGTCTGACATGGCAGGTTCTAGTTGCAAATGGGGATTTTTCGAAAAGAAATAAGTGAAGACATTTGAATATGGCTAGACATTTCATTTGTATCTAAAATAATTTTACTTCTAAATGTTCTTTACATTGCTAGTTGCAGCCTACTTGTAATAGCACACAATAGGAAATAACAACAATGTCCTACAGGAGGAGACGCATTACATGAACTATGGTACACCCATTCAGTGGACAGCTCTGCAGTGTATAGAAATCGGTTTTCAGGGAAAGAGACATGGGAAGTTGTTTATAATGCAGAGAAGAAAATCTGGCTACAAATGGACACTTTCCTCAACATAATGTAAGTTCAACAAGGGGAGGAGCCATGTCCATCTTTTATTACAATATCCCCAGCAGACAGTGCTTGATAGAAGTGCTTAAAATAATAAACACAAGTGTTTACAAAAGGGCTCCATTTGAAAAAATGTCAGTTATGTATAGAAATCCTCTAAGAATATACATTAAAATGTTAACTTTTTAATTCTGAGTAGATGATTTTTTTTGCCAGTTGGTTTTAAAATTTTTTTTAATAATTAAGCTTTATTTTCTAACCAGAACAGAAACAATAAAACTAAGTTAAAATATACTATTTCATGGGATTTCCAAAGTAGTTTCTATAAAATAGCCCATTTCTATATTTAGGCAGTTTACAGAGTTAGCTGGCTTCTTCTTAATCTTAGAAAGCAGCTTATTTTCGGAAATCCTTGCATTTTATCCAGGCTTATCCCTCAGTGAACAATCATGCACAGTCTGTTCAGGATTGTGATGAGGAAATGAAGTGAAAATCAAAATGAGGTAACTGTTATATGCTATCTTCACTTTCACATTTTTCAGGTAAAGCATGGTTTCATTCTTCTTGGAGTAAGAACCGAATAGAAATCTTGTTGCTCGCTAGGAGAAATGAAGCTAATGGGAACAGCCCTCTCTTCACAGTCCTCATGAGCCACGAATCTCAAGAGAAGAAAACTGGCAAAACTCCTAGGAGCTCATTCCAAATGCTCTAATAATTCCCTTGAGCAGTAAACATATTTTCTTGCTCAGTGTTAGACATATATTACTGAAGAATGCAATGCCTGCATTGCTAGCTATTAACAAAAGTTATATTTGATTGGCTAACAACCATGCATCAATGCTCCTCCAGAGGAATGCTGAGTGTGTGGGTGTGTGTGATCGAGACCCATTCTCCTAGGCTAAATTGCCAAATGTATTCAGTGATGCGTTTGATTTAAAACAGGGAAATGAATACGCCCAGGGGAAGCGTTCGACATATTGAATGTTACACTTCAAAGTATATGAAAAAACACAAACGCCCGAAGAACCTGAGTATTGGATGAAGAGAACAGTATAGATTTATTCTGTTCATCTGTATATTTGTCCCTTTTTAAAACATCTGGTATTGTCAAAATCAGGAATGCAATACAACTGTAGTGCTTGGCTAAATAATAGCTACAAATTTTTGGCCATCTAGGATGTTAATCTGTGCTGTATTCTGAAAATATAATCCTACCAAAATACTACTATTAAATCAAGCTTAAAAACCATTCATTAATAGTTTTTGAAAAGCGTATTTATGGTCTACAGTGAAATGAAAAAGGGGTTTAATACATTATATTAGCTCGATTTTGGATAGTATGCTATAAAAATATAATCCTTGGGAAGATTCAAAAGAATTGGAAAAGTTGTATTAAGAAAATAGAATGAAGTATCCCAGAATTAGCCTGCCTGTGAGGGAAGTCATATCAGAAAAGTAATTTTCCTTTTAATATTTTGCACCCAGGAGGAAGATACTTTTCTAGAACCTTCGTGATTCACAACAGAGAACCAAAACCAATGTTATTGGTTTAAAAAGCAGAAAGTTTTTTTCTCTCCGCCTGGCAAAAAAATAATTCAAATTATTTTGATTTACTTTATGGTGAAATAAAAGGAAATACACTAAAAGTAATACACCATTTAATTTATTTCTCTCAATTCAATCCCAGCAATCAAAATAGGTATGGGAGTATTTCTTATTTCCTGCCAACGGCTTTTCTTTAAATTGAATCTTGTTCAGAAAATACTCAAAACAAAAGCATGCACACTGCGAATCTGCAAAATGAACATTGATCATAGGAGATTTTTCTACTTAACAAACATTTGTTTAATACCCACTTAACCTGGTTTACTTAGTAAACCAAAGTTATTAAAGATTACTATGGGATAAATAAATTTCATTCAATTTTTTTCACTCAATACGGTATCTGGAAGCATCTCCAGTTGTTTATAAACTGAGAGTCCACATCCCTTTGTAGATATTCTTTTTCTTTCTTTGGTATCCCGCTTTCAGAACTCACCCAAGACAGTGTACATACATCTATTTTAACATTTGTTACATGCTTTATAGCTCCAGTTTACTGCTCCTACTGCCTGTGCACTCAGAGAAGGCAGGATGCTATTTCATATTCATTTTTCAGTGCATAACACTTAGCAAAGTACCTGGCACACATAGAGGTCAACAAACACTTGTTGACAAAGCGATTAATTAAATACCTCTAAGAAGCTGTGAAAATAATATATCATCTATAAAATACAAGATGTTATTATTGATGACTGATGTATTAACATTAGAATGGGAAGAATGAGTGGAAATTTAGGTTCCCCCCTCCACTTATGCTCAAAAACATAGGAGACTATTTATTTATTTATTATTATTTTTTGAGACGGAGTTTCGCTCTTGTTACCCAGGCTGGAGTGCAATGGCACGATCTCGGCTCACCACAACCTCAGCCTCCTGGGTTCAGGCAATTCTCCTGCCTCAGCCTCTTCAGTAGCTGGGATTACAGGCACGTGTCACCATGCCCAGCTAATTTTTTGTATTTTTAGAGACAGGGTTTCACTATGCTGACCATGATGGTCTTGATCTCTTGACCTCGTGATCCACCCGCCTCGGCCTCCCAAAGTGCTGGGATTACAGGCGTGAGCCACCACGCCCGGCCCGACAATATTTATTTATTTACTTATTTTATTTAGAGATGGACTCTTGCTCTGTCCTCCAGGCTGGAGCACAGTGGTGCGATCTCGGTTCACTACAACCTCTGCCTCCCGGGTTGAAGCAATTCTCCTGCCTCAGCCTCCCCATAGCACAGACTACAGACACGTGCCACGATACCTGCTAATTTTTGTATTTTTAGTAGAGAGGGGGTTTCACCATATTGGCCAGGCTTGTCTTGAACTCCTCACCTCAAGTGATCTGCCTGCCTGGGCCTCCCAAAGTGCTGGGGTTATAGGCGTGAACCACCATGCTTGGCCTGAAACAACATTTAACTAAGATTGAAGACTTGACTGGAGATGGGAGAAGGAGATTGGAGATCCTTGAGAGGATTCTCCACTGTGTGAGTGTGAATGATGCCACCTCGATGTGGATGTTCTTGCCTAGGACGGTTGAGCTCTGGTAGGTAACCTGGCACTTGACTGGCACTCCAAGAAACAAAATATCCTTGAATTATTGTTACAGTCCAGTTTTCTTCCCTAGTTAAATAAAGAACACTTCATTAAGAAAGAAGGAGGGTCCAGATGAAGTAGTTACAAAGCCCTTCCCAATGGAAATCTTTTTCTTGCAGTACACATGCCTGTGACTCTCATTTATGGAGTCAAACTTTCCTAGGAAATAATTAATAAATCAGTCAGATTTCAAATTTTCTTTAGGGCAGGAGACGTGACTGCCTCTTTCCCATTTGTATCTAGAATTGTCCAACTCATATTCAAGAGTTTTGTTTTTAAACATTGTCTGGCTTTAAAGTGGTATACATCTGAAATTCCCCTTCATACATATACACCCCAGTAAAACAAATTAAATAAAATATACACAATGGGGAATAAAACCCTAGAATAGGTGTCAATGACATGGTTGTTTTCCAGAATGATTCTACCAACATGTCCTCCTAGGGATTTTCGTCTCGTTATCCGAGATGAATCGGTGCTGGGGCTGCATATCGATTTTCTTCTCACGAAGTCTTCTGAGTTTAGAGAGAGGGAAGTCTGGTCCATGTCAATGTCAGCGTCATGAAAACAACCATCGAAGGCCATGGCTTGAACTGCATCAATATTGTACATCCTAGAAATCTGTCAAAAAAACTTCTTTTAAAGTAGGTCCTGAATATGCTTTTACAAATAGGAATTACAATAATGTTAATAAAGTTAAATATGATTTATCAAAACAGCAATTTGTTTTTCAATGTATTTTTCTTCGTTGTAGAAAATATAGCAGTATTCTCGGTCAGGAGATATATTTTTTGGTTCAGAACTAAAACCATGTCATCTGGTGATCCATTTATGCTTAAACTGGGGTTGGGATAGAGAAAGATTTTAGCTTCTCCGTTCAAATGCAAATTAGCCAGGCCTTCCCATTTTTGCCTAAGATTGCCTATAAATGACCCTAACATAGCCCATTAAACAACATGAAATTGGTTTATTTTTCTGAAGGGAGGAGCAAATAATCAATGCTTTCTGGCTCCAGTGCCTGACTGAATCAAAACTAAAATTTTCTTTAAGGTTTTACTCTGAGGAAGACAGCGGTTCCCACTACTTTGGAGCAGTGCAAAGCAGCTGTTACTGACTGCTCTTGGAGAACACAAAATCACTGCTTGATTTACAAGGAAGTTCAAAAATGAACAAATAGAGACTACAACTGGATGAGATTATTCACAATTCAAACTGGAGGCTGCAAAATAAATTCTGCCAAAACATGTATTTGGTTCATCGTGATTTTAAAACCTAATATTTTATGAATTCAAAAGACATGAAGACTATTTTGTGCAGTCAGTGAACTAATCAAAGACCCATACTTGAGTTATGTTGTCCCTTTTTATTTTCTTAAGTTTTAAATTAAAATTTGTTTCTTGTTTTCATTTATCGAGACAGGTCTCACTCTGTCATCTAAGCTGGAGTACAGTGGTGTGATTCCAGCTCCCTGCAGCCTTGACCTCCTGGGCTCAAGTGATCATTCCCGCCTTAGCCTCCTGAGTAGCTGGGACTACAGGCACACACCACTACGCTGAGATGATTTTTTAAATAATTCATGCTCTTCTATTGAACTTTAAGCAGGGCTTGATCAGAAAGAAGAGCTCAGAGGAGTGGGGCAACCCCAGCACCAGGGCATATGATTCATCCAAGGCTCTCCTGACACCAGTTCCAGCCCGGAGGGGCTTGGAGTGGCCTGCCATGCTCGGGCAATGGAGAGCATGAAAGCCAAACCTTGGCACCTGGAGAGTAAAGTGTCTTATCGTCCCCTGCAGATGGGCACATAACAGGTACATCTGCAGAGACAGTATTTTATTTTATTTTTAGTAGAGACGAGGTCCTGTTATGTTGCTGAGGCTGGTCCTGAACTCCTGAGCTTAGGCAATCCTCCTGCCTTGGCTTCTGAAAGTGCTGGGATTATAGGCATGAGCTACCGCACCCGGCCAAGAAAGAAAGTAGCTATTTTTCCTCTTTCTGAGCAATGATCAACATTAGGGATACGTTTTCCATAGACCTGCTGTTCTTCCCGTCTGAGTATCTTGGGGAGGGAGGTGGTTGGAATGTGTATGTGAACATGATGGTACTGGGTCGTAGTGGTGTGTGATGGTAGATGGTAATAATGTGAGATGGATGGTGGTGGTGGTGGTGGTGGTGGTGGTGGTGAAGGGTTATAGATGCTGGGTGGTGTTGGCTGGTGGTGGTTATGGTGGTGAGTGGCAGTGGTATGTGGTGGTGGTACTGGTAGTGAATGGTGGTGGTGGGTATTGGTGTCTGGTGGTGGTGATGGTGCTGTTTGGTAGTGGTGGACATTGGTCATGGTGGATGGCAGTAAGTGGTGGTGGTGGATGGTGATGGATGATGGTAAGTGGTGGGTGGTAGGTGGGAATGTTGATGGTGGATGGTGAGTGGTGCTAGTGGTGGTGAGTGGGGATGGTGGTGGTGGTAGGTGTTGGTGGCGGTGGTAGTTGGTAGTGGGTCATGGTTGGTGGTGTTGGTAGGTGGTAGATGGTGATGAGGGTATATGGTAGTGGTGGGTGGTGAGTGGTGGTGGATGCTGGTGGTGATGGTATGGGTGATGGTGGTAGATGATGGTGTTGGATAATGGTGGTGGGTAATAGGATGTAGTGGTGGTTGACTGGTGATGTTAGTGGATGGTAGTGGTATTGGTGGATGGTGGTTGGGAATGGTGGTAAACAGTGGTTGACAATGGTGTTGGGTGGTGCGCATGGTGGTGGTGGATATGGGGATGTGGTGGTGGTAGGTGGTGAGTGGTGGCTGGGAGTAAGTGGTGGTCAGTGGGTGAGTGGGTGGTGTGTGGTGGTGTTGCTGTAGGGGTAGATGCTGGTGGTGGGTGGTAAATGATGGGTGGTGGGTGGTGGTGGTGGATGGTGGGTGGTGGGTGATGGTGTTGGTGGATGGTGGTTGGGGTAGAGGGTGATGGTGGGTGGTAAGTGATGAGTGGTGAGTGGTGGTGGTGGGTGGTGGCATTGGTGGATGGTGGTTAGGGGCACATGGTGGTAGTGGGTGGTAAGCGATGGGTGATGAGTGGTGTTGGTGTTGGTGGAGGGTGGTTATGGGTAGAAGGTGGGTGGTGGCTGGTAAATGATAGGTGGTAGTGGTGGGTGGTGATGTTGGTGGATGGTGGTTAGGGGCATATGGTGTTGGTGGGGGTAAGTGATGAGTGGTGAGTGGTGGTGGGTGTTGGCGTTGGATGGTGGTTATGGGTAGAAGGTGGGTGGTGGTTGGTAAATGATAGGTGGTAAATGGTGGTGGTAGGTGGTGGTGTTGGTGGATGGTGGTTATGGGTAGAAGGTGGGTGGTGGGTGGTAAATGATAGGTGGTGAGTGGTGGTAGTGGGTGGTGGTATTGGTGGATGGTGGTAGAGGGTGGATAGTGCTGGCTGGTGGGATGTGGTGGGATTGGTTTACCATCATGTCTTTTTTTTTTTTGGAAACAGATTCTAACTCTGTTGTGCAGGCTGGAGTCCAGTGGTGTGATCCTGGCTCACTGCAACCTGAGACTCCCAGGTTCAAGCAATTCTCCTGCCTCAGCCTCCCAAGTAGCTGGGATTACAGGTGCCCACCACATGCCTGGCTAATTTTTGTATTTTTAGTAGAGACGGGGTTTCACCATGTTGGCCAGGTTGGTCTAGAACTCATGACCTCAAGTGATCCGCCTGCCTCAGACTCCCAAAGTGCTGGGATTACAGGCGCGAGCCACTGTGCCTGGCCTGCTATCACTTCTGACTTCAATTCTTTCTTCATTTTGTCCCACAAAGATATGAATGGCAAATAGGACATTCCTTTGAGATAACTGCATTTCTTTGAGATAACTGAGGATTATTAGAATGGTGGTTTCCAGAGCCTGGGGGAGCAGAATATGGGGAGTTGCCGCTTAATGAGTATAGAGTTTCAGTTTTGCAAGATGAAAGAGCTCAGGAGATTTGTTGCACCACAGTGTGAATATACTTAACACTACTGAACTATACTTAAAAACAGTTTAGACTGTAAAATCTAAGTTATAGTAATTTTACAATTAAAAATTAAAAAATAATTTTTTAAGTGGAGGATGCTTATTACCTGAAAAGAAACTTTGCATAGTGGCACAAAAAGACTGTGTACAATATCAACAAGCAGAAAACAATCAGGCAGTGTGAACACATGTTGTGTGGCAGATGGGGGCAGGGAGTTGTAGATATTTTGAGTCAAAGGACTAGATGGAGGCGGGCCAGAAGTACTTCAATGCCTATTTCTTGTGTTAGCCACTCCTTGTACAAAAACAAAATAAAACATGAAGAAAATTCTTTCCCTCCTTACACATTCTTCCTGTCACCTTTCACTTCACAGATTATCCAAATCATTGCTATTCAGTGTGGGAAACGGATCAGCAGCAGCAGCCACACCTGTAGCTTATTAGAAATTCAGAGTCTCAGGTCCCACCCCAGACCTCCTGAGTTAGAGTTTATCGAGGACCCAGGTGATGCCTATACACCGCTGGCACATACTGCTCTAAGTGCTCCTGGTTTCCTTACACCTGCATAGCACTCACTCTGTGTGCGTACGTGTCAGGCAAACACAGTCACATGCTGCCAGCAAGGAAATGAAAGCATCTGCCAGAAAACAAAATCAGCCTTTATGAGAGCTTGGACTCAAAGGGTGCAAAATCAAAGGATGAAGTGAGCATTCCAGATCTGAATGGCAATTGCAGTTCTGTTGGCTGAGAATCTGTCAGCAAATCACTTCATTTCACTAGAACTCTGCTTTTTCATTTATAAAATAGAGGTAAGAGTCCCTGCAAGATCTGCACTGAGGGCTGACAGGAAGGTTTGGTGTGAGAAGAGGATATCAAAACACTCTGGGCCGGGTGTGGTGGCTCACGCCTGTAATCCCAGCACTTTGGCAGGATGCCTACCTGTGAGGTAGGCAGATCACAAGGTAAGGAGTTTGAGACCAGCCTGACCAACATGATGAAACCCAGTGTCTACTAAAAATACAAAAATTAGCTGGACGTGGTGGTGCACGCCTGTAATTGCAGCTACTCAGGAGGCTGAGGCAGGAAATCACTTGAAACCGGGAGGTGGAGGTTGCAGTGAGCCAAGATCGTCCCACTGCACTCCAGCCTGGGTGACAGAGTGAGACTGTCTCAAAAAACAAAACAAAACAAAATACTCTGAAAGTATGAGATGCTCTCAGAAGTATAAAAAATATTAATAATGTTTGGTGTATATAAATGTTCATGTAAAATAATCTTAAAGCAATGTGAATACATTTCATTGAAGTTATGGGTGTATGTGTATAGATACTCTCTATATAGGATGTATATGCATACATATATAGTATATGCACATATGTATATGTGCATATGTGTGTTTATTCTCTTAAGAGTAGAGTAGAAATAACTCTTATCAGTTAAGTTTCTCAAGTACAATATCTTATGTAAGTTCTTTTAAGAGCAAGAAACTGGTGCCCAAATCCTCCATGAAATGAAGCAGGTAGAGAGCAATCTATCTACATTCATTAAACAATGTCACAAAAAACGTGGATGACATTTAGAGTCCAGAGACCACAGTAGGATACTGTTGTTTCCCCACAGTATCCTAGAAATGACTCTAGGATACTGTGGGGAAACAACCTCCCTTTATGCTCTACCACTCTCCCCCAAAAATAAATGCTGGCTCTCGGTGGAGAGATATCATTTATTAGTTGAGAGGGCACACACAGCCTTTGAAGTCAAGGAGACCCAGGAGCAAAGCCTGATTCCTCTTCAGCTATGTGACCTTGGCCAAGTTACAACCCGGCTGTGTTTACTTCACCTCTGCGAAACAAGGGCAATAAACCAGTGACCTTCCAGGGTTACTATGAGACTTAACTGACATAAAATGTAAGGTGGTTGGCATGATGCCAATATTTGATGAACCCCCATTGCACGTGAGCTGTTATTATTGTCACCATCATCCACTTGAAAGAATGTGGTCTGTATGTCAACCCCTTCTACTCAAAGGGTACAGTTGGGTAAAGGGAGTATATTGAGAGAAGTTCACACACACCAACTCCTGGTGAGGGTGAGTGAGGATGAGAAAAGCAGCCAGCAGAGAGTGAGGTTCAGGGCTGAATTGTCATCATACTGGACACTTGCCTCTTGTCCCTCACTTACCTTATGCACTTAAAACAAAGGCTTACAACACCGTCAAGAGAGGGCAACAGATAAGGGTAGTCTTTTCTGGCACATATACACCATGGAATATTATGCAGCTATCAAAAATGATAACTTCGTATCCTTTATAGGGAAATGGATGAAACTGGAGACCATCACTCTCAGCAAACTGACACAAGAACAGAAAATCAAACACTGCATGTTCTCACTCATAGGCGGGTGTTGAACAATGAGAACACATGGACACAGGGAGGGACAGCAGGGGGTGAGGAGTTGGGGAGAGATAGCATGGGGAGAAATGCCAGATATAGGTGAAGGTGGGGAAGGCAGCAAATCACACTGCTACGTGTGAACCTATGCAACTATCTTGTATGTTCTTCACATGTACCCCCAAACCTAAAATGCAATAAAAAAAAAAAAAGAAAAAATAAATAAAGCTGAGCCCAGCCATGGGTCTGCCCCCTCAAAAAAAAAAAAAAGGTAGTCTTTTCTACATTCCCCAAGGAATCTGATCGTCAAAGTGAGGCTGTACCTTCCCTGTCTTCTTGAATTGCTTCCGCTCCTCCGCTGTAGTGAGGTAGTTCACAGCTGCGTACTCAATGACTGACAGGAACACGAAGAGGGAGCTGACCCAGAGGTACACGTCCACAGCCTTGAGGTAGGACACCTGGGGCATGGAGGCACCCACGGCCGTGATGATCGTGGACATGGTCAGCACTGTGGTGATTCCTGTCATTTGAGAACAGTGACAAGCTTAGTGACACAACCATTCACTTCCAGGGTCTGGTGCTGAATTACACCAGGGGTGCGTCTTCTAGAACAATATCCATCTGGGGATAGAACAAAGAGGAGGGAAGGTGTGTGTATGCTGACCAAGTATCCATCTCAAGCCAACAAGATATTCTCACTGGATTTTTTTCCTGTTGCTTTTTCTTGCTCTCACCCTATTGTACAGAAGGATTTTTTTCACTCCATTTAAAGACTTCACAGTGACCAGACTCTGACATTTCTATTTTCTATCCTCAGATGGGCCTCTTCTAAGCATCCCAGAAAGGTAAACATGTATTCAACTTAAAAAAATTCTAAAATCATTTCCTCTAACCTCTCGCATTCCTTCACAATTGTTACTGTTCATAACCTGTCTTTCTGTCTACCTTTAATATTTCCTGTTTCCGGGGAGCTGATTTCTTCTCCAGTGTTGCTATTCTCTATATTATCCTTTCACAGAGAATACTTTAAAAGTCATTGTTATTCTCTTTGTCCTTTGTTAACAAAACTACAGTTCCACTGATTCTAAGTGTGCCAGGGGGGTTCAGTTCATTGTAAACATTTACCGAGCAACTGCTGAATTCCAGTCACCTTTTCCCTTGCAGTCCCTTCCCTGTTCCCCTCCTTCCTCCTCCCTGCCCCTCCCCACTTCCCTTTTCTTCTCTTCCCTACTTCTCTCTTTCTGCTGCCTTCCCCCTTCCCTTCTCTGGCCTGATCATCAGAGCTAAGAAGATCAAGGTTCTGGGGGGAAATGGAGGAATAAGTGGCTCTGAGATTTTCTTAATAAAATGCTGGCCGTGGGGAGGGCCATTCCATGTCTACATTTATTTCTCAGAGGGATATTGCAAGAGTGCTGCCTGGAGAGAAAGCATACTATTGTAAATATCTGAAATGTACACTGGCTGGCATGGTTTTATTTCTTAATTTCCCACCAGGGAGGTGCAAATGGAATCCTTAATGATTTTTATAAGTTGTGAGGACATTTTAATGTCAACAGACAGAGTCCCAAACAGCAGGAAGAGCACTGTGATTTACTCCTAAATGTACAGCCACAGCATGTGGACTGCTTTCACCAACACATTCTATCCTTTCTGTAATAATTCTGTGAAGCTCTCATCTGAGAGAGCCCCATATCAAACACAGTAACAATTCTATAGAGTCATTCTATTCCAAACAAAGTTTTTAAGTTTGTATGATCAAGATCGACACAACTTGGCAATTTGACAGTACCATGGGAGGACTTGGGCTCTCACCTTCACACGATTTGAATGTCAGAATAAGAAACCTAAATGCTATTCCAGCTCTTAACATTGAACACAGGCCATTACCTCATCAAGTCCCAGGTCTCCCTCAACAATGGTACGATCAGAGAGTGATGTCTGCATTGTCTGGCTCTAAAACATACGTGCTACATAAACATGAAGCAAGGAATAAACATGAAGCATGGAATTGTATTAAGCATGGAATTTTTATTAACATTACAGGTATAGCAGAAGCCAAGATTATTAAATAAAACCTGCTTGCTTTTATCAAATATTTACCCATCACACATCTAGGTAAATAATTAGACACACATTGCAGAAAAGAAATAGAAGCTGAGAGTGGCGAAGGAATTACCTTGTATGTCAGAGCAGAATGCAAATTCTGTTCAGAGTGCAGAATTATGCCAAGGGGCAATGCCTTACTGTCTTCAAGATTTTACTGGCAGGAAGTGAAGGAATCATGAACTAATATTCCCACTTAGTGCCAACCTCATTTGTTTGAAAAATTTTTAAGGTCTTCTCTACTGGTTCTCTAAGATAAAAAAGATAGAACTGAATGTTTTCCTCAATGTACAGTAATAAGGAGCTTAGTGGACAAAATAAGGGTTTAGAACAAACACACAAGTTTGTTTGGTCTCATCATGTATTTGAAATTGGTAACTACTGGGCAAATAAAAAGGAACTGCACTATCTATATTTGCCAGAGAGCAATAAACCATTAATCATTTTCTTTAAAAGGGTACTTACTCCAACTAATTTATTATAGCTTTATTTATTTTAAAACCAGCATTCCGGATTTTCCTTCTTTAAGATGAGTAATAAAAAAGAAAGGATTAGAGTGGAGAGGAGTGATTGTTGGGTAGGGGGAGTGAATAATGAGAAAACTGAGATATAAATTCCTAAAGCAATAGAACTTGAAGTCAGGAGTATTATAGCTACATTAAATACACTTATTATGTCTTGAGCCACCCCTCAAAGATACATCAATCTTGACAAATAGTAGTCCTTCCAAACCCATTAAAGTTAACATCCCAATAAAGGAGTTTTGAATTATATGAAGCAACCACTAAATTGAAGGAAGCTCATGTGTTTGGATTAGAAAATTATCTTTCCCCCCTACTGATGTTGCTACGCATAGTTAGGAAAGTGTTATGAGAAATTATTTAGTCTGACCCTTTGACTCAACTCCTCCGAGCTCTTGCAGCTTCACCATACTAACTTTTAAAGACATACATGGGGTCTTAAGAACACGTTAGTCTGGGGAGAATTACTAATCATTCCGTTTCATTGGCTATTTTTAGCCATGCATGGTGGTGAAGCAGTGGGGCAGACGGGCGTCACTATAACACCACTGAGTTCACCCCTCAATAACTGTGTTGCAGGTAGTTCTTTTGAAGGGAGGGGGTGTTATATTCACCTTCAAGTGAGTAAAAATATTTTTCATATAGGCCTAGGCAGAAAGAAAATGTTACATGATATGAAGGAAATGAAGGTGGCCTGACATTCCAACATTACTCTATGACCAGAAACTAATAACCATTTTCCCATGAAGGTGGTATAAGAGTACAAATAAGTGTCAGTAGAAATTCTGGTATCTCTGTGATGCTTAAATGAGCTGCTCTTATCCAGTTCCTTAAGTATTCCCTTTTCCAAGCATATATGGCATATCCTCTGTTAGGAGATGATTTTTCTTTGAGAGTAACTACAGGCCTGAAAGCTTCCTCTGCCATATCTGTTTTACAGTAAATGAGTCCATTACTTAATGCATTCTATAGAGAATAGAATACGTCATGCATAGGGATCAAGCAAGAATGATGGAGGCAAGAAAAGGATGAGGAAGTGAAAATGAGAGGAGAAAGTATAATATTTAAATATCCTTGAACAACTACATAATTGTCTCACATTCTCTCCATACCAAATTTAATGGAGAGTCATAATAGTATTTTTGACCCATCATACATTCCAAGTTATGGTAGCTATTATCTCTTATGAGAACTGCCTAATCACAGTGCATACTTTTTCTTCTTTCAGACAGTCTCACTCTGTCACCAGGCTGGAGTGCAGTGGCACAATCACGGCCCACTGCAACCTCCGACAGATATTTCATCTGTCAACCTTTAATTCAAGCGATTCTCCTGCCTCAGCCTCTTTAGCAGCTGGGATTACAGGCACACACCACCACTCCCAGCTAATTTTTTTTTTTTGAGATAGAGTCTCACTCTGTCGCACAGGCTGGAGTGCAGTGGCACAATCCCGGCTCACTGCAACCTCTGCCTCTTGGGTTCAAGCGATTCTCCTGCCTCAGCCTCCCTAGTAGCTGGACTACAGGCATGTGCCACCATGCCCGGCTAATTTTTTGTTTTAGTAGAGATGGGGTTTCACAGTATTAAGCTTCATAGATGGTCTTGATCTCCTGACCTCATGATCTGCTCTCCTCATCCGCCCAAAGTGCTGGGATTACAGGTGTAAGCCACCGCGCCCGGCCAAGAATTGCCTAACACAGAACATACTTCTAAATGCTAAGCACCCTCTACTGTTTTTTACCCGAAACATGGCAAATGTGGGAGGGTCTTCACCAGCAAATGAGTCATCCGTTATTGTTTCCAGTTAGCAACTAAAAATATGCTGGACTACACACCGGCAACTTAACAACTACCTATCGAACATGAAATACGTGCAGGAGGACACTGCGCTACCCACTGAAGGAACAACAAAAATCGTAATAGTGATCCCTTGTCCTTAAGGAGCTCACATCCTAATAGAGGTCAAAAGACAAGCCGCTCCTGCCCCACAGCAAAACATGAAATAGAGGAAGTAAGCTACTTAGGAGATATATGAAGAGTCGTGTTTTCAAAGATGAGAGAGACCATGTGTGCTTGGAGTCATCACTAAAGGTTTTCAGCCATGTAGAGATGGAAGGATTTTGACAGAAAAAAACAGGTGGGGAGGAGGAACCAATCACAATACCAAAGGACACAATTCCAGATTCCATAATCCCAAATGTTGAAATCCCCAACGATCAAAATCTCTAGTCTAAAATACTAAAAATCACAATCTTGAAAGATCAAAATCCTGAAAATATGGTTCTAAAAAATAATTTTGAAAAATGTAAAACATATTTATATTTTAAAAAGGTAATTTATTCAAGAAACATAAAAAATGACACAACACTTCATAAGCCACTTTACACAGTAAAATAAGCAATAAAAAAACGTATTTCTGTAAGCATAAACACTCAGGTATACTGACTACAGTTGCAGAGATATAGCAGTTATGAGCAGATGAACCATACTGATACAGAAACAGGTCAAAACGGAAACATAACTGCATATCACTAGGGTGGGTCATTGTGGGTACCCGGCTTTATAACTGTGGTCATCTCAAACACCGTGATGGACAACCTAAGTCTCTGAGGATTGATCAAAAACCACATATGCAGTCACCCAAAGAGCTAAGATCTCACGAAATTTTATCTTTCACAAATGCAGATGTACAAAAATGACATGTCTTCATTTATTGAGAAAGTTCCAACATTTTTACATACATGCACAATACTTACAAAGCTAATGTGATAATGCACTTTCAGGGAGCTAAATTTGCAAAAAGGCATAATACAAATTCGAACTCCCTAATAGTCTAACTTTATATCTCCACTACTAGAAATGATGCAAAGATAAAATACGTAGCATAGAAAATTATAAGAAATATAATTCTGACAATAAAAATAGTAAAAAAAGAAAAAGAGACCAAAAACTAAAAAGAAAATTTCATTTATGAAGCAGCGGTAAGTTATAGGCGATTGCATAAAGATACTGCCCAAGGACTGGCCTAACATGGTGCAATTATCCTGTGATTGTGATTTTTGAGATTTTAGACTTTAGGGATTTAGACTTGAGGGATTTTGATCTTTCAGGATTTCAACATTCAGGATTATGGCATTCGGTATTGTGTCTTTTGAGATTATGATCCAAACCAGTATAATGAATTATGTAAACATTTTGAAGATCTGAATAACTCAGTGAACCAATATTTTCCAAACGACCAATGCATCAGGGAAAAGTCTATTCAAGGTATAAGGTAGACCAATGGATTCTAATCTAACAGAGTAGAAAATATTTTTTGACATGGTTTCAGATAGCACATTGCAACTAAACTTTTAAGAAATTATGACTTGCTGAGTTTTGGTGTCATGTGAAGAGAAGCTATCTGCAATTATCTGGAAAGACTATTAAGATACTACTCCTTTTTCAAACTATGTATCTGATGAGGTCAGATTTCTCCCTATATTTCAACCAAAACCTATTGCAATAGCATAAATGAAGAAACAGAGATAAAAATCCATACTGCCCTCTATAAAGGCAGACATTAAAGATTTGCAAAAATGTTTTAAAATGCCACTCTTCTCACTAAACTTTTTGTTTATAAAAAATAATTACGCTTCATACAATATGTTATCATGTTAACTTACAATGTTGATTATTCCTAGATTTAAGTAAATTAACACGTTTTCAAATTCTATTTTAACATCTAATATGGCTAATAATAATAGACATGACCCACAGCAACAAAAGCTCTCTAGGGTCCTCATTAGCTCTTAAGAGTGTAAGTGCGTCCTGAGGCCATAGTTTGAGGATCACTGCTAAAGATTAAAAAGGAAATTGAGGTTTCAGATATGAAAGGCTGGACAAACCGGGAGGCCCTGAAGAGAATAAGGAAAGAGAATAGGTGAAGAGAATAAGTGGCTTTCCTGCTAACCCATCAACGTAAGTTATTATGAAGAAATGAACAGTATAGTGTGAATTTGTTTGAAGGTTCTTTTTTTCTGTGATGTAAGGGTTTGTCAGGAAAAGCTAAATGGACTTGGGTAATGCATGGAAGAGTACCTAGAAAGGGAAAAGATAAGATTTAAAAGTGAGGCTATTTATGCTTCCTACTTTCACCCTCTTTCCTTACTATCATCCAGTTACAGGTCAGGTGGGACATCCTCCATCCCTGAAGTCTGGGTTCCCAAGGTAAGACTTGATTCTAAACAGGCTGAATGCTTGTAGTACTGCAGGTGAAGTGCAGCATACAACTGAAAGTATCCAAATAGCATATACTTATATAGGGACAGAAGTTGGAATAAAAGTTTCTTCCACTAGATAAGAGTCAAAAGTGAGCAGACCCTTGGGAGGGAGTTACTCATACTTAAGGAGTGGAAAAGGCAGTAAAGAGAAAAGGAAAGTCTTCAGGAGGAGAAAACCAGACTATTGGAAAGTATTGAAAACTAATGCATTGTGTATGTGGTTGGTTTTGTCCAGGCATCAAGCTAGGCAGTTGACATGATTAGATTAATTCTCCCATTTAATTCTCATAATGACCTTTAACAGGTAGTATTAATAATTTCATTTTGCAGATGAGGAAGATGAGGCTGAAATTCTTGACCACTAAAGTTGGTCCTAGTGGGAGGAGCCTAATAATGTCAAATGCTGTAGAGAAGATGAAGGAAGGAAGCAAATAAGAAAAGGCAAGTGGGCCAGATGAAGAGATAGTCACAGAACCTTCCAGAGAATTGGGTAGCACAGCATTTGCAAAGAGCGAGGGAAGCAGAGAGCAAAGTATCTTTGAAAAAAAATGTGAGGGTGGAAGGAAGCAAAAGCCTGAGAGGGTAACACTTTTATAGAAACAGTACTGTTCTCTTATTAAAATAATTTTTTTTCAAAGTGGGAGAGGGACACTTCTGGTTTGCATGCATTTTACATAAATCTGCATAGCAATTTCCTAACCCTAAGGGATCAGACGTGGTTGCAAGAAGCAGATAATTTCAAGGGTGTCTTAAAAGTGTTTTACTGTTCTCAATTCACTCCAACCTTCCATGGAAGTAGCTCTTATTGCTGTCGTTTTCACAGTATAAGAGCAGAGCAGTCAACTTCAGAAATCTGACTGAAAATCATGTTCATAAACCTTTATAGACTTAGAGCTTTTCTCTCTGTGTTTCGAGGGCTGGAAATGTGCCCTCGGTCTCGTATTTGGGTCTATGCTGCCACACTGCAGTACTGAGGTCAGGCACATGCGCTGGTGTGAAGAAACAGTCCAAATAATTTAATTACTTCTTCAGATGGTATTTTTTTCCTTGAAGATATTCAAGTCTCAAATGCTTGTAAATTGAATCTTTTAATAGGGAAAGGAGGTGAGCAAATTGTTAATATTAATAATTTATGTATTTCAAATGATCTTTTGAAGCACGCATATAATTTGTGAACATTAACTTACAAACCACCCTTTCTGGAATGAATTGTGTGATAATTACAATAATTGTAACAATTATTATAATAATAACAATCTTCTCTCTAGATAGAGCACTACAAATGAAAGAACAACATCAGATAAAATGAGGGGGTTCTGCCCTGACCAGCAAAAGAGGCAAGTGGAATTATCTCTTGGGTTCTTATTAAGTAACGTGTCATCTAAGTTCTTAGCTTGGCACCTTCTGCTTTCTAAGATCCCAGTAACTGCTAAGTGGGTCTGAAATGGCTCCCATAAATCAGCGTGTGTGACAGAGGCACACAGCATGCTAGATGGTGTAGATAATCACCCCTGTGTAGTGACTTAATGAGGCTGGCAACGTCTCTCCACCTAAAATCTCTTGCCAACTAATGTGCTACTGCACCTGAAATTCCTCTGTGGTTGTTTCTGATTTTGGCCTTTTGGTTAAGTCCTAATTTCTAATTAGTATTCATATTTTCAAATTCAAGTATCCCCTCCATGTTCTTGTTAACCCACCAAGGTAATTTATTATTAATACACTAACAGTATAGTGTGAATTACTTTGAATGTCTCCCTTTCTGTGATGTAAGGGTTTGTCATGAAACACTAAATGGACTTACATAAAGCATGGGGAGATTTTCTTAAAAAAGAAGAGACAAGATTTAAAAGTGAGGCTGTTTATGCTTCATAATTTCACCCTCTTTCTTTACTATCATCCAGCTGCAGGTCAGTCAGCAAAGCCTTCATACTTAAAATCTGGGTTCCCAAGGAAATAACTCAATTACAATTTGCTCTTGAAGACGTCAAGATAAATACTGCAACCTAGATGTTCATCTCTGACTATCCCTACTAAACCACCATTCTCTTTTCCTCTCCATGTATCACCCATTTTATTTACCTCCCTTGAACTTTCTTCCATGTGAACATTTTATAAAGATGGGGAGAGATTTACCCAGGGAAACTCTCGCAGGAACAGCTCTTCGGTCAATCCAAAATGAAACCCATGAAAGCATCACCATCAATATGGCTGGGAAATAGGTTTGCAGCACAAAGAAGAAAATATGCCTCCTTAGCACAAAGTTGATGAAAAGCCTATTGTACCAACCTATGGAAAAAAGCCAAAGTTTTCATTAGAGCAAGCTTCCTCTTAGAAACGCTGCGCTTAGTGAAATGATGTGCCTCTTTAGACTCCAAGCTCTTGGGGACATGGAACATGATATCCTCATCTCCACGTTTGGGCCTGGCACTCCATCAGCGTTTGTTAAACCAGCTGAACTACAGTGTGCTTAATTGTGTGACTCAAAGATCCTCTTTAACTTCCACACCTACAGTTCAGGGATGAATAGCGGTTATATTTTGTGGGATGGCCTCTAAAGACCTTTCTCCACAATACATTGTGTTGCGGCATTTCTGCAAGAAGGAAAGTCCTCAATACACGACTAATGATGGCATTAAAGAGCCAACAGACCATTTATTAGCTACAACAAATGAAAAGAAACATTTATCTGAATGACAAGATTCACAGTGGGCGGTGGGTCATTAGATTTTGACCTGGGATGCAGAAAGCTAGGGCTTCAAATGGAAAAGAAAATGGCATCCATAAGCTAGTTTTATAATTTTAAAGTCTCATGAATACCATAATTTGTGTATGACAAATCTACAAAAAAGTAACCAAATGATGACGTTTCTTTCCATCTTATTTAAATTATATAAACTCATGTTGGTAATATTAATTGTGCCAATTAAAAGCACCATTTGTGGTCACATCCACACACATATTTTGTTCAGGTTTACCTCTCCCATTGACTACTAGGAAGTTTAACGTCAAATTTTCAGACATCGGCAGGACCTCTCTGAGCACCACTCTTTAATGACCACACACCAGGTTATATGTAATACCCTATCCTGGTTTTTCCTTTTTTTTCTAATACATTTCTAATTTATATCACCTTGCTTTATTTCACAAAAACTATGTGTCAATCTTGTTAAATCTTTACTAAAATAGGGCAATGAATGAGGAAACATGAAAATACATCTTTTATGAATAAGCAGGATTATTTTTTCTGTGATAAATGCTGTTTACTTTCAGATAACATTATTCAAAACACAGGGACTATAGGTCAAAAGTTATAAAAGAAAAATCACAGGTATTGCAGAGTTGGAAAACCCTTCTACTAGTCTCAGCAGTAATTTCTTAGTAACCTAAGATGGCAAACTTATTAGATGGATGACGTCAAGTACTTAGGCATTTGGAATACATCTGGCCAACCCACATTGAACTGGCAGACTCTACTTCTAGAATCCTATTCTCAATTAAATGCTCATTATCTTTCTTTTCCTTACCTAGTTCCAAGCTTCTCTCTGTCAGTTGATATATGCTTCAGAAATACCAAACAATTTTATTACCAGGAGTAATAAAAGATACATCACATAGTACATTATAAAGTTAAAATGTATATTGTTTTTAAGCTTCTCATTGTCTTGTATCGCCTATGTCACAGCCCAGTTTATTACTGTGTACAACTGAGAGTTTCAGTGATGGCTGCAGAGTACAGTAACAGCTATCTGACCTTGCTACTTCATATAATTATTGTGAGGTTAAAATAAGGAAAACCTGTGAAAGCAATTCAAAAGGAAGACAGTATTAAGGTATATGGTTTTCTGTTCATTATTAACTTGAAACAGAATTAGTTATCTACATCCTTTATTCGTAATTTTCTGAAAAACAGTTGTCCTTTTTTTTGGTGGAGTGGGGGTGGGGTGGAGTAACCAGGAAGTGAAACTGCTGCTCTGCCTTGTGGTTCGAGACTAGGGGTGGTATTTTAGTTGAACCTGCAGGTCATGGGGATCCATTTCTCTCTCAGGAAAGGTGGTGCTTTCTTGGAAAGACAGGAAGGCCTCATTTTGGGTAGTACAATAAAGAGTCTGATTCTATTTTTGATGTTTGACTGCTAAAAGCTCTCAAGCCCAACTTCTCTTTCTGTGCTACATCTAAACAAGTAATAAAAAGCCTAGGTCTCTCTTTTTTGGCACCTGTGAGAAGTTCAAAGCATGCATCTTGTCCTACAACAGGCAGCCTTCACCCTAGCTGCACCCCCTAGCTACCACAAAAACCCATGCCAGTAGCCCCTGCCTGTTCTCTCAAGCCATTTTCGGACCTGCTAGGGAGCCTGTCCCTCTCTCTCTAGAAAGCCTCATTATGTGAGTAATAAATAAATCACCTTATGCCCATTTGCCATGTGCATGGCATCATCAGTTTTTGCATCTGAACTAAATTTTGGATGGGGGCGGGTACATCTGCCTCCATCAGCTTGCCATACAGTAGAAAGAAGAGGTGTTAATAAAAGAGAAAAAAGGGCTATAGAGTTGGTAGCCAGGGAAATGGAGGACTGGGCCAGTAACTGGGGAGTGAGTCCCAAGACAAGAATGAAGAAGGTTTTTATACCTAGAGATAGTCACCTTCAATGGCACTTTGAAACTAGGATCAAGACAACGTGGATGAAAATAGCGTTATCATGACAGCTACTAACTAATGTTTATTGACCATCTACTATCTGGCAGACAACATCCTAAGGTACTTGATTATATGACATCATGTATCCTCACAACCCTATGATGTCTACATGAGTATTATGAAACCCACTTAAAGATGAGAAGGTAGAGGGTTAGAGAGATTAAGCAACTTGTCCAAGGTCACATTGCTAATAAATGATGGACACAGGGTTTAGGTGGTCTTTTTTTTTTCCTCCCTTTTTCTTTTTTTTGGTTCCCTGGTCTCTTTATAGTACTTAACATATTCCGCCACTAGACTATGCTATGATAAAGAATAACTATTCAATGTATCCTTTGGGGGCAGGGGTCACTTCTTCTTTTCTTTGTAAATTAATAGTGCATGATTTTGAGAAAGAGATCAGGAGGCAGAATCCCTCACCTGCTTGCAAAGACCCTGTTGTTCAGCTATAAAATGGAAACTAAGGTCCTATAACTGTATTTTTGGCTCTTATAGCCAGAATCAGGTGTATAGTTTTTCCACAGAGCTGATTTGGGAGTGGTGATTGTGGCTGGTACTTGTAAAAATAGGAGCGAAAAAAAAATCAAAAATTATTTTTGAGGAAGCTAAAATACTTAAACAGGAAACCAGTCTGAAAAAGACACTTGAGTTTGACTGTCAGAAGATATTCATGGATGATGTGAGGCAGAACTCTCACATGCTCACGAACTAAAATAAGTTTCTAAATGTAATCTTTCTGAAACCTAAGGGATGGTCAAATAAACCCAGATATGATTATTAATTTGATATTTGAATACTACTCCCAAAATGTTTCCCTTCTGCATTTTTCCTATTCTCAGAGCCCATTTAAATTTCTGTCATTAAAAAAAAAAAAAGAGTATATTGGAACAAATTAAAAAATACAAGTGTTGAAAATTTCCCCAATTGATACCTACTTCTTAGAGGTATCTATTGTTAATCCTTCTAGGCTTTTAACACAAACACACACACACGATATGCACACATATGTATATAAACACTTATAAATATGTATAAATACTTTCTTCAATAACAAGTATGGGAATTTTAAAATGTATTCTTCTGTAACTTGCTTTAAAAAAAAATGGTAACGTATTATGGATAACTCTCCATCTCATGCTACACAAAGCATGTACATTTGAACCTAATGATATATACTTTTTCATTTTCTAAGGAACCAAAATGCTATTTCTTAAAAATATAACTACATTTCAATGTTCGGGATATGTAAGTTCATTTTAAAATGTAAGCATCTTTGTGAGCAGCAAGTTTTTCAATGCCAACATTTTGTCTGGCTTTGGAGAGATTCTAAAACATGACCAGAAAAAGATAAAAATCAGCTAGTGTTGGACCCGCGTGGTAGAGCTCAAAAAGTCTGACAAGCACAAATAAGATTAGAGGAGAGAAAATGGAATGACTTAGTGATAAAGTCAGAATTTTGAAGTAAAATTTAACTTCTTGTTAAGAAGGTGGTTGTATATATGTTAATAGATAATGGTGCTTCAAAAGCTAAAGAAATGCCATTGTTATTATAGTACATTTTGTATATGTTCTGTGCAGGAGACAATTCTTTTGGATTTCTATGCTTCATATATAGTACATCATATTAGCATTAAACATTGCAAATATCTATTTATAATGTATCATATGCCAAAGTTATTTCATCATAGCAATAGTAAAATTTTAAAAATCCTATAAATTATACTTCACATATATCATGGTTGTTCATTGCATACATTCTATTTAAATATTAATTTAATTTAGCATTAATGAAAAACATTAAAAGTCCTGATAAATATATGCTTATATTTATTCATATAGAGAAAGGCAAAGTGAGAAAAGAAGGAGAAGGAGGAGGATCAGAAAAATATATCAAAATAATAATACAGTTTATCTCTACGAGGTAGGATTATGAAGAGATTTTCCTTTAAATTTTTCTGAGGTCTCCTCAAATTGTCTAACATTTTTTCATTCATTCAATAATTAGCCTTTGAGCATGTACCATGAGCCAGGGATATATCAGTGATCAAAACAAATAAATATGTGTTACTTATATAATCAGAAAAGGCAATAAACACGATTAAAATTGATAGCATCATTTGCTGAATCCCAAGCCATGCAGACAAATAACGGGGTAAAACAGAGAATTTCTTCTGGGTCTAAACAGCTAAATAGCTGCTGCTCCTAGAGAATCATTTAACTTCTCTGCAATGTAAACTTCGACTTCTCTCTTAAAGATGCAGGTTTTTAGATAAAACTTTGATAACTACTCTCCAAGATCTAAGAACAGAGTAGAGAATCTTTGAGGAGAAAAGGAACCACCATCAAGGCAGAGGAGGTAAAAGCATTCTAGCCAGGACAGCTCTGAAACTCAGGGACAGCTGTTGGTACACTTTCTGGCTGGTCTAAGCATGGCTTCATTGAATCTGAAATGGCATTTTATATGGATTCGCCCTACAATGACCCAGAATATTACTATCCAGCAGGGGAATGATAGTGGAGGGTGAGGAGGGTCGAGGGGAACAGGAGGCTGCTTCCAACTTCAATGGAGATCAGAAATAACTTTAAAAGCTGTCTTGGATAAAACTTGTCAATTCAGAAATACATCTGTCATAGTAAAGAGTACTCTACAGGCCCAGTTTTGGATGGGCTTTTTGTTTGGGGCAACAATGCACTTTATGGATGGATTCACTCAGCTGGTTTTTATTGAGCATCTATCATGTTCCAAGCACGTTCCAGGTGCTGCAGAAGAAATGGTGAGCAGGGCAGACAGATTCCCCATCCCTTTCCTGGTGAGGCACTCAGACAATACAGCAGTCAAATGAGTGCATACTTCAGGTGATGGTAGGTGCTGTGATGACGGAGGCAGGGAATGGTGAGAAAGGAATCCTGTTTTACACAGGTTGGTTTGGTTAGGAAAGCACTGTTTGAGAAGCTCTTTGAAGAAAGCACTGACTGAAGTGAGGAAGCTGGTCATGAGAACATTGGGGGAAAGCTTTCCAGGCAGAGGGAGGAGATGGCCAGGCAGAGGTTCTGCTGATGGAATGAGGTGGGCAAGCAAGAAGGCCAGTGTCAGAAGAATAGCAGGTGGTGATGGGCAGGGTGAGTGGGTGAGTCCCACGTCAGGCAGAAGACTGATCACGTTGAGAAACTTCAATTTTGTTGTAAATGTGACGGAAAGACACTGAAAAGTTTAGAATAGGAAAGAATTCTGAACTTCCTGTTCCAAAGAGATTACTCAGTCTGCTGTATTGAGACTGAGGAGTCAGGAATGGAAGACAGGCATCTTGTTAGAGATGGGTGCATGATCGGGAGAGAAATGAGGTGTGGAAAGATGGAGGTCGCTCCCTGTAAGGGACAGGAATGACGGTCTTGGTCAAAGGGTACAATCGCTTGGATTCGGTTTTTTCACAGGTTGTGGTGCTTTGCAAACAGTAGATGTCCAATAAATGCTGATGAATTACCCATGTAACATGCTGTACCTGTGCTGCTATAGAAAGCTAATCCACTAGATGCACTGAACTCTTCAATGAAGAACTGAGAAAGGGAAATATGCTCTTCAGTATTTAAGGACTTGTTTCCGTGTTTCCAATACAGCATTAGGTCGTCCTCATTGTAGGCATCTAAAACATGAAAATACTTGTAAGTGGAGTCAGTTCTTGTAAGCTTGATGAGTTCTATAACCATGTTTTATGTGGCTCTGTGTCCCTAGTGCCTAGTCCAATGATATGTAACATATTAGGTGACAAAAATATGCTTGCCAATGAACTGATCATACACACACTTTTAGGAAAAGAGAAAAGAATCTCTAAAAGTTAGACCCTGATGACTAGTATAATGTTGATCTTGTGCCCACACAATGAATTACAACTGCCCAGATAGCTGCTCCCATATTTGTGTGCATTCTCTTAGAGTACTAAGCCAGACGTCAGAGTGACACCATAGCATCCCCTCACTGTCACAGGCCTGACTCCAGCCTGTTAGTCCCTCGTTGTTTTTCGTTTCCTTGGATGAAATTCCAAAATGGGCCAATCTTATAAGAAATTTTCTGAAGTCAAATAGTGGTACAAAAAGTTTCTAATGGATTTAGGGCAGAGTATTCGGGAGTAGACATCTATTGAGATTCCCAGCATTTTAGACACATTTTCAAAAACTGCAGTCAGCTTTTAAGATCTTGTATCAAAAATAGCTGATGGGTAAAAGTGATTGACAGCTCAGATACCCTGTGATGAGGTTTTGATAAAGGGTGTCTATGTCTAGAGCTAGATTTCTCTAGGGAACCCAAGTCTACCTAATGAAGGATTGGGATTCATCTGAGAACATTAATTCCAGAGCTTTCCAAATGTGTAAAGTCTGTGTCAATCTATGTAACATTAGCAAGAATAGACCTTTTTAGGGAGCTGTTCCTTTATTGTGGAAACTGCAGGATATACAATTATCAAAATACTTTCCCCCCCAAATCTTCTTTAACAGACAAACTGCCATCAAAACCTTCATAAAAAACAGAAACCAAAAAAACCCCACAAAAAAAACAAAACAAAACAAAAAAACCCCCACAACTGTTTTGATTTTGGATAAATATATCAAGATTTTAAAATGCTTGTTAAAAGCATGCTTATTTACATGTAAATATGTGATGATGTGTTCAAATGATGTACTCACTCCACCAGGAAGTGAGACTTACAGCTTTCCAGTTCAAGAGAACAATTTTGAGTGTCAAGAGGAAACCTGCTGAAATCCATAAAGCACATGGCAGAAACCGTTATCCTACAAAGAGAATGAGAAAAAGAATACTGCAGATCATTCAACCAACTGGCCAAATGAGCATGCAACATTGAAACTTTCTTATTGTTTGTCCATTCTGTGTATCTTTCAAGAATAATCCAAAATGGGCAGTGTTATCTTCTGTCCAAATTATATGCAAGGAAGCAAACTCTAGAGGGTAGATGATTTGTTTAAGCCACAGATTCAGTGAGTGAATTCCGCTCTCATACCTGCTTCTGAGCTCATCATTTCCTGATCAGCCCCCTCTGTATTTTCTGGCTCTGATGTCTCTAGAAAAACACACTTTAAAGTAAGAAGACTTTTAAATAGATTTGAATATTTTTTGCTTTCTGGAAGATTCCCACATAAATAGCCTATAGTAACAAAGGGTTGGGATGGTAGCAATAAAAACCTGTAGGTAAAGGTTTCCTTTACAAAGAAAGTACCTGAGGAAATCCTCTTTCCAGTAGTGGGTGAAAAGCCTGGAGCATTCTTAGTTACAGATCTATGTATAATTCAGGTGCTATTAAGCCAAAAGGCTTGCATACTGATAAGAACTGTTTTTTCAAATTTTATATCCTCCTAGTTTTCCTGGCTTCAGGCAGAGGCTGCTGTACTATGATCTTGCCTCAAAGTAGAAATTTTGGTACCCACAATAGCAGATCAAAGGTTTGTAAAAGGCCCCTGAGCAGGTTTGCAAAACACAAAGGCAACAGATGCTCCTACCTGTGGTGCCCTTGAGTTAATCAGAGGAGCAGGACCATTTCATCTTCTGTGGGCTAATTTTACTGTCAATAGTCATGCAACAATACATCAAGCCAAGGACTACTTTGTGTCACAAAACATATTCATTTTGGTGTGTTCCTAGTACTTTAAACCTAGAAGGGGCCCTCTGAGGTGTTTCAGTCCACTTCCTTCATAGTACATGTGAATGAATTAAGGATAAAAGAGGCTGGGAGGCGAGGTGGTGTCAGAACGAGTCCCAGAACCGGGGGATCTGGCTCTGGGCTTAGATTGGCTCTGCTGTTGGCTGGAAGAGCTGTGCTGACAAAAATTTTGAGTTCCTCCTGTGTTAGAGGATCTCCAAGACCACTCTCAAGGTCAGTGATTCACTAGAAGGACTTGCAGAACCCAGCAAAGCTGTTTTACTCTTGGTTACCTATAATGGAAAGATACAGATGAAAATCAACAGCAGAGGCCGGGCGCGTTGGCTCACACCTATAATCCCACCACTTTGGGAGGCAAAGGCGGGTGGATCACGAGGTCAAGAGATTGAGACCATCCTGGTCAACATAGTGAAACCCTGTCTCTACTAAAAATACAAAAATTAGCTGGGCATGGTGGCGTGTGCCTGTAGTCCCACCTACTCGGTAGGCTGAGGCAGGAGAATTGCTTGAACGCAGAAGGCAGAGGTTGCGGTGAGCTGAGATCGTGCCATTGCACTCCAGTCTGGGTAAGAGCAGCCAAACTCCGTCTCAAAAAAAAAGAAAATCAACAGCAGAAAAGGAGCACAGGGCAGGGCAGAGTCCAGGAGAGACCAGAAACACATTTCCAGTTGTCCTCTCCTAATGGAGTTATACAGATGGTGCTTAATTCTCTCAGAAATGATATGTGACAACACCCTTGGGACATCACCAGCCAAGGAAGCTCACCCAAGCCTTGATACTCATACTTTTAATTGAGAGTAGCCACATAGTACTGACTGACAACCCACATGGCTGACCTTAGTCTCCAGCCCTTCCAGAGGTCAAGCTGATATCCAGTGGCTCAAAGCCTCCACTATAAATCACATTGTTAGCAGAAACTATCAGGCTCAGCCCCAGCCTCCAAGTAAATAAAGATACTCTTACCAGTTAGGATATTCCAAGGGGTTAGGGGTTACCCCACAGGAGGCTGGCAAGGGCCAAATATTTCCTGGAATGTGCAGGGTAAGAAAAATCGACTGAGTTAATTCTTTACTCCCCCCACCAAAATTAATTTAAAATGGTTGATTCTTTGTCCAGATAGTGCCGTTCTGCTCCCGATTCCTACTGAGGCTTGACTCCAGTACCTATGAATCCTATGCTACTCCTGATTTAAAAGTCCTATTGAGGCCAGGCATGGTGGCTCACACCTGTAACCCCAGCACTTTGGGAGGCCGAGTTGGACAGATCATTTGAGGTCGGGAGTTCGAGGCCAGCCTGGCCAACATGGTGTAATCTCGTCTCTACTAAAAATATAAAAATTAGCTGGGCATGGTGGTGGGTGCCTGTAATCTCAGCTACTCAGGAAAGGTTGAGGCAGGAGAATCACTTGAACCCAGAAGGCAGAGGCTGCAGTGAGCTGAGATTGTGTCACTGTACCCCAGCCTGGATGACACAGTAAGATCCTGTTCTTCCCTACCGTACCCCCCCACCAAAAAAAAACCATTGAAAGTGGTATTTTCCTTTAACTGCATTTTTTTAAAAATTGACAGCACATATACAATGCCTGGCAACAGCTCTGTGCTGAGGTATTTTAACGAGCAAAAACAATCTACATAAGATTCCTATTGCTGCTATAACTAATTACTCCATATTTGGTAGTTTAACACAATAGAAATTTATTCTCTCACAGATCTGGAGGCCAGAACTCTGAAATCAGTATCATGAGGCTGAAATCGAAGTGTCATAAGGCCCTTCTCTCTTAGCAGCTCTGGGGGAAAATCCATGTGTCCTACAGCTTCTGGTGGCTGCCAGCATTTTTTGGCTTATGACACATTGTCTTCTCTTTTTCTGTATACATGAAATTTTCCTCTGCCTTTCTATTATAAGGATACTTAAGATTGCATTTAAGTCCCACCTAGATAATCCAGGATAATTTCTTACCTATTTCAAGATCCTTAACTTAATCACATCTGCAAGGATCCTTTTCTCTTTCTCTCCTTCCTTCCTTTCTTTCCTTTTTTTTTTTTTTTTTTTTCTTTCGTGGTCATATAGGATAACAGGTTCCAGAAGTTAGGACAGAAATATCTATCATTTGTTCAGCCTACTTTAGAATGTTTCTAAGGTTAGTAGACATTTAAAAAAAGCTGAGTTGCTTGGGTTTACTAAACATTTATAGTAATTATCTGTCATAACCCACTCAATATGCACAGGACTCATGTGACTAAAAGAAACTATGGAACATTTAAGAGGAAGCGCTGTTATAGCAAAGTGTTGGAATGCACATTTTAAATTAAAAGCAAAGTAAAAGAAAGCAAATTGGTGTTAGCTTGAATGATAGCTATGCCTTCCCATGAAAAATGAAGGAGATAATTAAGAAAAATTGTATAACTAATCCAAGGTTCCAAAACTGCTTGGTGGAGTGCAGCGTTCGCATGGAGTTGGAAAGAAGGAAAAGCAGGCTTGTTTGCCTATAAGATTGTGTGCCAGATTTTAGGATTTCCATAATTCAGCTTCACTATTTGTCCAACCAACATATACCCAGAGTGGATATAGTCAGAACAGCAAATCATTTTTATTTCAAACTCGATGTTAGAACTAGGGAAAAACCACATCTTATGATTGTGTCCCAATCTCTAGAAACATTAAACAGATAGCAACATTGTGAGTTTTATCTGAAGCTAGAATCATCAGTTTTGGTGCAGATAGTAGCAGTACAAGAAAGCCAAAGGCAGTAGGCAGCTCTCCTTACCTAAGACTCAGGAGGATGTTTCCATCAGGGTGTACACGCAGCATGATATTCTCCATAGTTGTATCATGGATGAAGGATCTTTTAGAGTGGACAAAAAAGATATCAGGCACCCAGATCTTTTGGATCAATCTATGATCAAATGTCATGCTTTTGTTTACTGCACTAGGAAAGGAGAGCCTCTCGTCTTTCCAGTAATGCCTGAGATAAAAAGTCATTGTGAAGTCCTAGACAGAGAGAAGAAGAAACCAATCAAAACCAGTAGGAATATGGTTCAGGGTGACCACTCAACACTATTAGTCCCAGGACTCATCCTCATGGGTGTTAATGACTTATAAGTGAATGGCTAACATTGTAGTTTCAGATCGATCTAGGATGAAGCTAAGGAGGTTATGCTTTCAGCTTCTCTTTCACATGAACTCTGGTGAATGTTAAGAATTTCTGGGAGCTATAACAGAATATTCAAGTTGGGGAAAGGGAACCAGGTTATAAATGGGCAGCATTTCTGTGCAAGCATTCCGGTAAATCACCTAAAGAGATCTCAGAAGAAAGGAACCTGAAACTTTACTATTTTACTGTCTATTATTTTATTGATTGCTTTTTTCATTATGAATATTCATTTTTAAAATTGATTTTGTACTGATGCTCACGTTCCTTTTGTTAAAGAAGTTTTCCCAAATTGAATAAACTATAGTCCCACAAAAATGTGGATCAAGTGTTTATTAGAGCTATTCGTGTAAAGCAATAGGACAGAAGTCCTAGGACAGAGTCAGGAATTGTCCTCAGCTTCAGACAGGAAGCATGTTGTAAAATGGTGGTTCTCCAAGTTTAATGTGCAAAGAATAATTTTTGAAGTTTGTAGAAATGGCACATTTCCCAGAAGTTAGTTCCCAGAGATTCTGATTCAGTATGGCTCAGGGGTTTGAATCGTTAATGTTCATTCTTGTATTGTAAGAATGAATTGCTGAGAGGAAAAAACTGTACTAGCATTATAGTAGAAAAAAAAAGTTTATTCACTTAATAATATGAGCTTTGTTTGGCTCTTAGATATTCCAAATATTTGGTTGTTTGAATAGAAACTCCCCTAGCTTCATCCAAATTGTTGGCTGCTGGACAACCACAATAACTTCTTCCTATTTCTCAATTGCTTACTTCTCTCTTTTATTTTCCAACGATAATCAAATTTTTCTTGAACTAGTGCATATGCTAGAACTTTGGCATTTATATACAAACAAGGGATACATTTCAGTAAACTCTGAATGAGTCACCCATTAATTATGAGCTAGTGTGTTCTAGGTTCAGAATAGAGCTATATTGATTTATGGCTCTGGATTAATCTGGGAACCATTAATTAGCCATGCGTAATTTTGGATTAGGGTGAGGGCAAATAAACAGAATGATTCATTCATTAACATAATACAGGGACTTGTGTGGGTTACTGCATAGAGTGCCTTAATAAGCATATACTTAGAATTAGATGCTTGGTCTGATCTAAAGGTCACTAGGCAAACATTTGAGTTTATGGAGTCAAATAGCAGACGTGGGTGCGTGTTTGTGATACAGCAAATCATTACTTGCTGGCAATATCAATCACCAGGAGCAAGCCGAACAGCATTCTGGAAGGAGAATGATACAAAACTTAGATGGATCGAAAGTGAAGTTAGGGTGGACAAGAGAGAGTAGAAAGATGATAAATGAGAAGCAAAACCAACCAAACACACATACACTAGGGAAAAAGGGTGAATCCTGACAACAAGAAAGCATTTTCAAACTGGGCATGTGAACCCAGTCCAGTTTTATGTGATACAGACTAGCAAAGCTAACCTTATTCAGGGAGTAAAGATGATATCCAGTTTTGGGTGCTGCTTGTTAGAGACAATAAGGATTTTAGATGCAAACTGGGTCATTCAGAAATGACTTCAATATGATGTCAGGACAGGGGAAATAAAACTTGTTCTCAGCGCACAACAGGCTTGGTGGAAGTACCAGTAGGAGCTGACTTTGGGTAGGAAAGGATCAAAATCTTATAAACCAGTCTTTTTCGAGTAGTGAGTCCTATGAGTACTATTCCCTTTTGGTGTAGAGGGGCAAAATGAATGTTTAAGACCTATGTTGAACTGAAATAAATATTGAATTAGATAATGATAAGGACGAGGCAGACCATTAGCTGAGAGTTCACAGACTGAAACAAGGTGTAATGGGTCACAGAAGATTGTGTTTAGACTTTTCTAGAACATCTTTCAGTTAGTGATTTGGAGGAATTGCTAAAAATAAAAATATGAATTAAGGATACAGATGAAAAGATGATTTGATTTTAGTGACTGATGTTTTCTAGGCCCTGCTCCTTTAGCAGATCCCTGCTTGTTCACTTTCTGTCTCTCTCATTTTATCCTTAATTGTGGTATTTGCATTATTACAAAAATAATACATAGAATCTAAATTTTTTTTTTTTTGAGACGGAGTTTCGCTCTTGTTACCCAGGCTGGAGTGCAATGGCGCGATTTCGGCTCACCGCAACCTCCGCCTCCTGGGTTCAGGCAATTCTCCTGCCTCAGCCTCCCGAGTAGCTGGGACTACAGGCGCACGCCACCATGTCCAGCTAATTTTTTTATTTTTAGTAGAGACGAGGTTTCACCATGTTGACCAGGATGGTCTCGATCTCTTGACCTCGTGATCCACCTGCCTCGGCCTCCCAAAGTGCTGGGATTATAGGCGTGAGCCACCGTGCCTGGTCCAGAATCTAAATTTTAAAATTAAACACTCTGAAAATTACTATATATGCTACAGTTTATATAGCAACAATACTTATTCCAAAGCATATATATAAAAGCTTTTGAAAGGTTTCTAAGAACACACATGTAAAATATTCCAGAAAATGGAATGAAATTCAAGGATTCATGTACATAAAAATGGCCAGCAAATGAGTAGATTGGATAAACAACAAACTAATTTTTTTCAGATGGAAAATGAAGTTTGAAAAGAAAATAACTCCTCCCAATTGATGGAAGAGGCACTCTGTTGCTTTTATTAAAAAAACAAACAGAAAAGCAGACTGCCATCTTTAAAGAAGAAAACAGAGGATAATAAGCATCCGGATAAGAGCTGCAATCTCGAATGACTCCAAGAACCAGGTGGGCAACTTTTAGTCAAAGAAGCAGGCTGAATCAAGAGAAGAAAAGCAAGGCACGGCTTCCAGGACAACCTGGGGGGAACAGGCCCTATCTAAAGACACTCAAACATTGATTTTTCTTCTTCTTCTTCTTTTTTTTTTTTTTTATACAGTCTCACTTTGTCACACAGGCTGAAGTGTAGTGGGGCAATCTTGGTTTACTATAACCTCCAGCTCCCAGGTTCAAGCAATTTTCCTGCCTCAGCCTACGGAGTAGCTGGAACTACAGGCATGTGCCACCATGCCCAGCTAATTTTTTTGTATTTTTAGTAGAAACAGGGTTTCCCCATGTTGGCCAGGCTGGTCTTGAATTCCTGACCTCAAATGATCTGCCCATGATGGCCTCCCAAAGTGCTGGGATAACAGGCTGAGCCACTGCTCCTGGCCCCAAAATTAAATTGTTTAAAACTTTTGGTAGAATGGAGAAAAAAAACTAAAATTTAAACCAAATCCAAAATTGAAACCAATCCAAAACATATTTATATGCTGTATCTTACTAGTAGGTACCAGTTAGGGCCTAACACTTGAAGGTGATGTAGTATTGATAGAGAACAAAAGAGGTGGATCTAAAGAAGATGATGGAAAAAACAGCAACTGAGGAGAATTAAATGAGATGGAAAAAGCAATTTAAATATAAGTACACAGAGCCATTAGGCAAGAAGGAGTGATAGAGTTTGAATGTTTGTTCCTTCCAAATCTTGTGTTGAAATTTGATCCCCAATGTTGGAGATGGGGCTTGATGAGAGGTGTATTAGTCCATTTTCAAACTGCTATAAAGAACCACCTAAGACTCAGTAATTAATAAAGAAAAGAGGTTTAATTGACTCACAGTTCTCCATGGCTGGGGAAGCCTCAGGAAACTTACAATCACGGTGGAAAACAAAGTGGAAGCAAGCACCTTCACAAGCAGCCGGAGATAGAGAGACAGAACATGTGCAGGGGAAACTGTTACTTGTAAACCATCGGATCTCATAAGAACTCTCTTACTATCACAAGAACAGCATGGGGGAAACCGCCCCCATGATCCAATCACCTCCCACAGGGTCCCTCCCTCAACATGTCAAGACAAGATTTGGGTGGGGACACAGACCCAAACCATATCAGGAGGTATTTGGGTGAGGGGGGACTCAAGATGGCGCTGTGAGAACAACCCAGGATTGGAGCCCGCGTTGAATTCGCAAACGGTGAGTCAGTGCTGCATTTCCAGACTGATCTTTGTTGCCCACAGAACGGGGAAACTCCAAAGTATAAAAAGACACGGGACGCCAGGCAGTAGGTCTGCCTGGCGAAGCCGGCAGCCGGGGCGGCGGCGGCCGGCCCTACCCAGCAATCCCCACAGGGCGCGCTTGTCCGGGTGCCTTGTTGAACCGGCAATCTGAGACTTGAGAGGGCTGGACTTGAGACTGAACGAGACTTGCACAGTAGCCCAGCCCAGGGGATTGCAGGGACAGATCGGTTGGGATACCCAGTGGGACGAACAAAACCGCGATTTCAAACTATCCCGGGCAGACGGTCCGAGATGCTCTGTGGGGGAGGGGCGTCCACCACTACGGAGGCAACCTGCCCCAACTGATATACACGCCCACTGCTGAGGCAGCCAGCCGTTGCCGAGGCAACCCGCCCCAACTGAGATACACGCCCACTGCTGACGCAGCCAGCCGTTGCCGAGGCAACCCGTCCCTACTGAGATACACGCCCACTGCTGACACAGCCTGCCGTTGCTGAGGCAACACGCTACAACGAAGAGACTCCGCCGCAGGGCGTGGCGGAGACCACAGCAGAGCCGGCAGGAACAGCGCGAATCACACAACAGCAGGGCGGAGACTCGGCAGCCAAACAGTGGCTAGTCTGCCTTCGAGCTGGGCAGGACACCTGATCGGACAACCAAAAATAAAGCCCAAACCCCTCAACACAGAGCACTTGAGAAAAAAAAAAGGGTTGTTTAATGAGCTGTGTTGCAGCAGAATCAAACATAGCAGCCTAACAGCCCTGAATGAACACAGAGTGCACAGCTCAGCAATTAAACCCCTATAAAGTACAAACTGTCTCCTCAAGCAGCTCCCTGACCCCTCTATATCCAAAAGACTGTCATTAGGCAGGCATCATCCTGGGACAAAGAGAGCAAAAAAAGAAGCTGGTAGCATCCCTCGCTGTGCCACGGCTACTAGAGGTGCACCCCAGACAAGCAGGGTATGGAGCGGACCTCAACAGTCGTACAGCGAAGGGGCTAGACTGGTAGAAGGAAAACCAAGCAACAGAAATACTTCATCATCAACATTCTGGGTGTCCACTCAGAGACCCAAACGAAAAGTCAGCAACTACGCAGACGACCAGTGGACAAATCCACAAAGATGGGAAGAAACCAGCGCAAAAAGGAGGAAAACACCCGAAACCAGAACACCTCGCCTCCTAGAAAGGACCAAAACTCCTCACCAGCAAGGGAACAAAGCTGGACGGAGAATGACTGTGACGAAATGACGGAATTAGACTTCAGAAGATGGATAATGAGAAACTTTTGTGAGCTAAAAGATCATGTATTAAATCAATGCAAAGAAACTAAGAACCTTGAAAAAAGATTTGAAAAAAGATTCGAGGAAATGATAACAAGAATGGATAACTTAGAGAGGAATATGAATGAATTAAAGGAGCTGAAAAACACAATACGAGAACTTCGCGAAGCAAACGCAAGTTTCAATAGCCGAATTGACCAAGCAGAAGAAAGAATATCTGAAGTCGAAGACCAACTCAATGAAATAAAACGAGAAACCAAGATCAGAGAAAAAAGCGCAAAAAGGAATGAACAAAGTCTCCAAGAAATGTGGGACTATGTGAAAAGACCTAACCTACGTTTGATAGGTGTACCAGAAGGGGACGAAGAGAATGAATCCCAGCTGGAAAATACTCTTCAGGACATCATCCAGGAAAATTTCCCCCACCTAGCAAGACAAGCCAACACTCAATTGCAGGAAATACAGAGAACACCACAAAGATATTCCGCCAGAAGAGCAACCCCAAGGCACATAATCGTCAGATTCAACAGGGTTGAAATAAAGGAGAGAATACTAAGGGCAGCCAGAGAGAAAGGTCGGGTCACCCACAAAGGGAAGCCCATCAGACTCACAGCAGATCTCTCGGCAGAAACGCTACAAGCCAGAAGAGAGTGGGGGCCAATATTCAACATTCTTAAAGAAAAGAACTTTCAACCCAGAATTTCATATCCAGCCAAACTGAGCTTCAGAAGTGAAGGAAGAATAAAATCCTTTGCGAACAAGCAAGTACTCAGAGATTTTGTCACCACCAGGCCTGCTTTACAAGAGCTCCTAAAAGAGGCACTACACATAGAAAGGATCAATCAGTACCAGCCATTCCAAAATCACACTGAATGCTAAAGAGCTTCAACATAAGGAAGAATCTACAACAACTAACAGGCAAAACAGTCACTTAGAATCAAAATGGCAGTATCAAATTCACACATAACAATATTAACCCTAAATGTAAATGGACTAAATGCACCAATCAAAAGACACAGACTGGCAAATTGGATAAAAAGCCAAAACCCATCAGTGTGCTGTATCCAGGAAACCCATCTCACATGCAAGGATACACAAAGGCTCAAAATAAAGGGATGGAGGAAGATTTACCAAGCTAATGGAAAGCAAAAAAAAGCAGGAGTTGCAATTCTCATCTCTGATAAAATAGACTTTAAAGCAACAAAGATCAAAAGAGACAAAGAAGGCCATTACATAATGGTAAAAGGATCGATACAGCAAGAAGAGCTAACGATCCTAAACATATATGGACCCAACACAGGAGCACCCAGATACATAAGGCAAGTTCTTAATGACTTACAGAAGGACTTAGACTCCCACACAATAATAGTGGGAGACTTTAACACTCCACTGTCAATACTAGACAGATCAACCAGACAGAAAATCAACAAGGATACCCAGGGCTTGAACTCAGACCTGGAGCAAGCAAACCTGGTGGACATTTACAGAACTCTCCACCCCAAATCCACAGAATACACATTCTTCTCAGCACCACATCACACCTACTCTAAAATTGACCACATCATTGGAAGTAAAGCACTGCTCAACAAATGCAAAACAACTGAAATCATAACAAACAGCCTCTCAGACCATAGTGCAATCAAGTTAGAACTCAGAATTCAGAAACCGACCCAGAACCGCACAGCTTCATGGAAACTGAACAACTGGCTCTTGAATGTTGACTGGGTAAACAACGAAATGAAGGCAGAAATAAAGAAGTTCTTCGAAACCAATGACAATGAAGACACAACGTGCCAGAACCTCTGGGACACATTTAAAGCAGTCTCTAGAGGAAAGTATATAGCAATAAGTGCCCATATGAGGAGAATGGAGAGATCCAAAATTGACACCCTATCGTCAAAATTGAAAGAGCTAGAGGAGCAAGATCAAAAAAACTCAAAACCCAGCAGAAGACAAGAAATTACTAAGATCAGAGCTGAGCTGAAGGAGATTGAGACACGAAAAACCCTTCAAAAAATCAATAAATCCAAGAGCTGGTTTTTTGAAAAGATCAACAAAATAGACAGACCACTAGCCAGATTGATTAAAAATAAAAGAGAGAACAACCAAATAGATGCAATAAAAAATGATAAAGGGGAAATCACCACAGATTCCACAGAAATTCAAACCATCATCAGAGAATATTACAAACAACTCTATGCACATAAACTAGTAAACCTGGAAGAAATGGATAAATTCCTGGACTCCTGTGTCCTCCCAAGCCTAAACCAGGAGGAAGCTGAAACTATGAATAGACCAATAGCAAGGTCTGAAGTTGAGGCAGCAATTAAGAGCCTACCTCACAAAAAAAGCCCAGGTCCAGATGGGTTCACAGCCGAATTCTACCAGACACACAAGGAGGAGCTGGTACCATTCCTTCTAAAACTATTTCAAACAATCCAAAAAGAGGGAATCCTTCCCAAATCATTTTATGAGACCAACATCATCCTGATACCAAAACCCGGCAGAGACCCAACGAGAAAAGAAAACTTCAGGCCAATATCCATGATGAACATAGATGCAAAAATCTTCAATAAAATATTGGCAAGCCGATTGCAACAGCAAATCAAAAAACTTATTCATCATGATCAAGTAGGATTCATCCCAGGGATGCAAGGCTGGTTCAACATACGCAAGTCTATCAACGTAATTCACCACATAAACAGAACCAAAAACAAAAACCACATGATTATCTCAATTGACGCAGAAAAGGCATTTGACAAAATTCAACAGCCCTTTATGCTAAAAACCCTCAATAAACTCGGTATCGATGGAACGTATCTCAAAGTAATAAAAGCTATTTATGACAAACCAACAGCCAATATCATACTGAATGGGCAAAAACTGGAAGCATTCCCTTTGAAATCTGGTACTAGACAAGGATGCCCTCTCTCACCACTCCTATTCAATATAGTACTGGAAGTTCTAGCCAGAGCAATCAGGCAAGAAAAAGAAATAAAGGGTATTCAAATAGGAAAGGTGGAAGCCAAACCGTCTCTATTTGCAGACGACATGATAGTATACCTAGAAGACCCCATCGCCTCAGCCCAAAAACTCCTGAAACTGATAAACTTCAGCAAAGTCTCAGGATATAAAATCAATGTGCAAAAATCACAAGCATTCGTCTACACCAATAATAGACTTAAAGAAAGCCAAATCAAGAGCGAATTGCCATTCGCAATTGCTACAAAAAGAATAAAATACCTTGGAATACAACTCACAAGGAACGTAAGGGACCTCTTCAAGGAGAACTACAAACCACTGCTCAACAAAATCAGAGAGGACACAAACAGATGGAGAAACATTCCATGTTCATGGTTAGGAAGAATTAATATCGTGAAAATGGCTATACTGCCCAAAGTAATTTACAGAATCAACGCTATCCCCATCAAGCTACCATTGACTTTCTTCACAGAACTGGAAAAAACCACCATGAACTTCATATGGAACCAAAAGAGAGCCCGCATAGCCAAGTCAATTCTAAGCAAAAAGAACACAGCGGGGGGCATCACACTACCGGATTTCAAACTATACTACAAGGCTACAGTAATCAAAACAGCATGGTACTGGTACCAAAACAGAGATATAGACCAATGGAACAAAACAGAGGCACCGGAGGCAACACAACATACATACAACTATACAATCTTTGATAAACCTGACAAAAACAAGCAATGGGGCAAGGATTCCATGTTTAACAAATGGTGTTGGGAAAACTGGCTAGCCATGTGCAGAAAGCAGAAACTGGACCCCTTCCTGACACCTTACACTAAAATTAACTCCAGATGGATTAAAGACTTAAACATAAGACCTGGCACCATAAAAACCCTAGAAGGAAATCTAGGCAAAACTATCCAGGACATAGGAGTAGGCAAGGACTTCATGAACAAAACACCAAGAGCATTGGCAACAAGAGCCAAAATAGACAAATGGGACCTAATGAAACTCCACAGCTTCTGCACGGCAAAAGAAACAGTCACTAGAGTGGATCGGCAACCAACAGAATGGGAAAAAATTTTCGCAGTCTACCCATCTGACAAAGGGCTGATATCCAGAATTTACAAACAACTCAAGCAGATTTACAGGAAAAAAACAAACAAGCCCATTCAAAAGTGGGCAAAGGAGATGAACAGATACTTTACGAAAGAAGACATATATGAGGCCAACAATCATATGAAAAAATGCTCATCGTCACTGGTCATCAGAGAGATGCAAATCAAAACCACATTGAGATACCATCTCACGCCAGTTAGAATGGCAATCATTAAAAAATCTGGAGACAACAGATGCTGGAGAGGATGTGGAGAAAAAGGAACACTTTTACACTGTTGGTGGGAGTGTAAATTAGTTCAACCATTGTGGAAGACAGTGTGGCGATTCCTCAAGGCCTTAGAAATAGAAATTCCATTTGACCCAGCAATCCCATTACTGGGTATATATCCAAAAGACTATAAATCGTTCTACTATAAGGACACATGTACACGAATGTTCATTGCAGCACTGTTTACAATAGCAAAGACCTGGAATCAACCCAAATGCCCATTGATAATAGACTGGATTGGAAAAATGTGGCACATATACACCATGGAATATTATGCAGCAATCAGAAATGATGAGTTCGTGTCGTTTGTAGGGACATGGATGAATCTGGAAAACATCATCCTCAGCAAACTGACACAAGAACAGAAAATGAAACACCGCATATTCTCACTCATAGGTGGGTGATGAAAATGAGAACACATGGACACAGGGAGGGGAGTACTAAACACTGGGGTCTATTGGGGGGAAAAGGGGAGGGCCAGTGGGAGGGGGAGGTGGGGAGGGATAGCCTGGGGAGAAATGCCAAATGTGGGTGAAGGGGAGAAGAAAAGCAAAGCACACTGCCATGTGTGTACCTACGCAACTGTCTTGCATGCTCTGCTCATGTA